AGCTCAGGGCAGAGACCAGAGGTAGAGGTAACCACTTTATCCTCAGTGGCTCCAAGCTTTTGCTGACAAGGGAACTAAACAGAAAGCCTTTCCCTGCCCTGCTGGGAAGAGGCAAATGAGATTCTGAGCCTACTGGTAAGGTCTTTTCCTTTCCTTCAGTTAAATTGCTCACCACGCCAAAACCTACTATGTTTTGGGAATATCATTCTCAACAATACCATACACTCCTTCAAGCAAATGATTTCTGCTTTGTGGCTCTGTGCAGGCTCCCTTTCTTCCTTCCTTTCTTCCTTCCTTCCTTTCTTTCTTTCTTTCTTTCTTTCTTTCTTTCTTTCTTTCTTTCTATCATTCTTCCTTCCTTTTTTTTTTTTTTTTTTTTTTTGAGACAGAGTATTATCAGGCTGGTCTTGAACACTTTATCTTCCTGCTTTCACTTCCCAAATTCTGGGAATTTGGGTAAGGAAGGGTTGTTGATATCGTGAACTTCTCCCACAGAAACTCATCACAAGCAGGAGCTGTGACACCTAGCCCCCTCATCACTCATTTCTTTGAAATGCTGCTTATAGGTTTAGTAAGGTGGGCCTTCTGTAGCTATTTCCTCTGAAATGAAACCTTCTGCTTTAGAGGGAGGGTCAAGCTTGGCAGTGGTGGTGGTACACGCCTTTAATCCCAGCACTTGGGAGGCAGAGGCAGGTGGATCTCTGTGAGTTTGAGGTCAGCCTGGTCTACTGAGGGAATTCCAGGACAGGCTCCAAAGCCACAGAGAAACCACGTCTCGAAAAACAAACAAACAAACAAACAAAAATCTCAGAAAGTATGACTCACAGGCTCTGCCTCCAGGTCACATGGGCAGAAGGCTTGGCAAAGGGAAAGAAGAGTCCTCAGTGGAGCTGCCTGATGCCTGCAGCAAGAGGGCCAGGGATGGAGCTTCTGTGAGTGTCACAAAGTACAAGTGGGCTTTTTAGCAATGCAGATGTTTGAGCCATAATTGATGCTGCAATACACCATTTGGTTCACCAGGCTGGTCTTGGTGGAACTGTTTACTCCCTCTGGCACTTGGCCTTCTGTGGGTGCACTACATGAAGTGAACAGATGTTTGTTTATGCATCCCCAGGAAAAAGTTATGTAACATAGGGATTAAAAATTAACCATTGTTGATGTGTGCGTGCGTGTGTGCGTGTGAATCAGTCCAGCCACAATGAAAATCAGAATGGAGGTTCCTCAAAAACTAAAAAATAGACCTACCACTACTGGGATTTACTGCAAGACTTCAAGTCAATGTACCACAAAGCTATTTACACGCTAATGTCTATTGTAGCACAATAGCTAAGCTATGGAACTGACCTAGGTGACCATCAAGAGAGGACCAGATAAGGAAAATTTGGTGTATATAGATGATGAAAGTTTTTCTAGCTATAATGAAGAATGGAGTTATGTTGTTTGTAGGAAAATGGATGCACCAGAAGATAACTGTGAGAAGTGAATTGAGCCAGTATTAGAAAGATACATATATCTTCTCTCATGTGGGGCCTAGATTTTATATAGACATATAAACTAGTGTGTATGTATATATATCATGAAAGTATAGTGATTGTAGAATATAGAGAAATCAAGATTGATCTAAGTTTGAAGCGTCTTCTCTGTTGACTAGCTTTTGTAGTGTTGCAAGGTGTCATGTAAGCTACTGGTGGTGAAAAATCATCAACCATTTTACCCAGCTGTGCACTTCACAAGGTACAATATGTATCTGCCAGGCAAGGTGTGCCCACTGGTGCAATAATGGCATGACTATTATGGGCATAACCAACTGTTTTCAGATTGTAACTGAGGAGGGAATTCAAAAGCTATGATTGGAGAAGTCATGGCCCCAGTGAGGTTCTGCTGTTGTTTTGCTAAATGAACCTGGTGTCAAGCTGCCTCCTAAATATTTGTTTATAATCATAAATTAGTGCTGATTTCAGCTTTGGTAGAAGCTTTTGTTTGCAGTGGGTGACAGTTAATGCAGAAAGACTCATAACTGGTCAAAGGTATGTATAGGGTGAGTCTTCTGGCTTGGCAGGCCCCATTGCTCTTCTCTGTTCCAAAGAAGCACACACAGATGCTATATAGTTATAAAGCTGTTGGCATGTGACTAGTGCTTCTTATTTGGCTAGCTCTCTCTTAAATATTAGCTCATTTCTATCAATCTAAGCATTCCCTTGTGATCTTCTCTTACTGGAGAAAGGTTCGGGGGTCTGTTACTCCTCTGGTGTCCTACATGGTGACTGACTCACTGTGTCCGAAGAGAAGAGAGCGATTTCCTGTTTGTCTCTGCTTATATTCTCTTTCTACTCAGCTATGCCACTTCCTGGGATCTCATGATAACTCCTCTCTGCCTACACTTTCCAGAATCCTGCTCATATCCTAGTTCCACCTATCTTGCTGCCCTGTTGGCCAACAGTGTTTTATTCCTCAACCAATAAGACAAACATATACACAGAAGACCATTCCTCATCAGATATGTGATCCCAGTTGCTAGGATCAAAGGCATGAGCTCTGTTACCACTCTGATGTATGCCATGAGATCCTGTCTTCCTCTTAATCTTGAGTCCTGGGATTAAAGGTGTATACCACCACTGCCTGATCTCTATAGGTTGAGGCTTATTTTGCTTTCTGAATCCTCAGGTAAACTTTAATAAATCATAAATAATATATCATCACAAGAGACAGCCTAGTCTTCAAATTGAGTTCCAGGACAGCCAAGGCTACACACAGAACTCCTGTCTTGAAAATAAACAAACAGGGGTTGGAGACATGAGTCAGTGGTTAAGAGCACTGACTGCTCTTTCAGAGGACCAGAGTTCAATTCCCAGCACCCACATGACAGCTCACAACTGTCTAACTGCAGGATCTGATGTCCTCACATAGATGTACTTGCAGGCAAAACACCAATGCACACAAAATAAAAATAGGTAAATAAAAAGAAAACAAACAAGAAAATAGAAATGAAATAGGCTAGGAGAATACAGAGGACTAATAAAAGAGGGTAAGGGGGAAAATAGGGAGGTCAGGGAGTATAGCAGGTCTGCTCAATGTATGAAAATGGCCTTCTGTAGTACAATACTGTGCATAATGAACATATATAATGAAAAAGTAAAAGAAGCAAAACAATTATATTCTTGTTACACAAGATATTCAATTGGAATATGGAGGAATTGTTTTGAATTTTAACGTAGATCACAAAGACTTAATTACAGAACTTAGCAACTTTGTCGCTGGGAATTTGACTAGTGTAGTTTGAGTGAAAAGGTGGGGGACAGAGCAATGGCAGTGGTTCAGGACATTATAGCCCTGTCTCCCAAGAAGTAAAATTCGAGTGGAGCTGCCTAGAGGGATGCAGGGAGTTAATGTGCTTTTTTTGTTTTATTTTAGGGTGTCCTTGTGTGCTGCCTGTACTTATCTTGTAGGTATGGATGCTGATGATACAGTAAAAAGGAGGGCCATTGCTACAGGGATGCCCTCCCCTCAGGATGTGGTGGGTCTGGCTACATTGCCATTATAAATATCAAGTGTTATACAGTTATAATTAAGAAATTATATGTATAAACACACACATACACAATTTAGTTTGTTTTTGAGACAGTTTGTCTGTGTAACCCTGGCATTCCTGATGTCCCTTTACCCATTAACTATATTGAGGTTATATTTTACTACCCCTATGTGGATGGTGAAAACATACTGCTGGTCTTGTGCTCTATTCCCAGCTCCATAGTGAGATTAGCTTTTAACACAGTAGGACAGAGGTGAAATGTTTCTTATTACTGAGTGAGAAGGACATCCAGGTTATGGCCCGGGAACCCGGCAGGAAAGGAGGTGATGATATCCTGAGGTAAGGAGAGGGTGAGAGAGCAAGTAATTGGAGGTATTCTGTATGTTGACAGACACCATTCAAAGGCCCCTTGAAGGGGCTGAGGGAGTATAATTTAGTTGGAAGAGATCCCTGAGCCCAATGCCCAGCACCACCAGCTGAGTATGCTTGTGTATACCTGTAAACACAGCCTTCAGTTCCTCTGGAGGTGGAGGCAGAAGCAGCAGAAATTCAAGAATTCAAGGTAATCAATCCACTCACATAGCAAGGTTATATATGTGATCCCCCGCTTTTTTTTTTTTTTTTTTAAATTAAAGCTGGGGTGGGGAGAAAAACCCAACAACAACAACACACGCACACCTCAAAACAAAAACCAAAACCCAAGAAAGGGGGGAATGGAAGAAAAAAGAAGGCTCCTTGAGGTTGATGGTTCAGAAAGCATTTGTCTCCCAGGCTGACTCGGAATAGCCCAGGCAGCTGCAGAGTCAACATCTCAGGAAATGTTCCTGTTCAACCTAGCACCAACATGTCTTAGGCCACGTGTGTCAAATCCCACGCCTCATTAATTTTACCCAACAGCAGGGACCGGTTGAATTCGGTTGAATTTGCTGCTGAGTCTGCAGTGTCTGGCACGCAACACGTGTGCAAAAACAGGTGAATAACTTAGAGAATGAATGTAACATTTGCTTCTTTTTTAGTAACAACTGCTGTTTGGAGGAAAGAAAACATTTCTTCCGCATCCCATTTCTGGTTGGCTGGTGTTTAACCTTAGCCAAGTTAGTTCCTAGGGTTAGATACCTAGACAGATTCATTTCCTAGACTGTTCCGGGAGAAAAAAAGTTTCCTCCTGCCCGAGGCCGCTCCGCACGCCCCAGGCAGCCTTCCAGATTAGCGAGGCATGCAGTCGCTGGCCTTTGTCTTGCCGGATTTAGCTGAGCTCGGCTGTAACACCATACACACCCAGTTTCAGGGCGGAGAGTTACCTATTTATTACACCATATTTCTATTTGGTTCTGTCAACAGAGGATAATTTTGTGACCTCCGGCAGTGATGATTTAAAATTCTGGCTGCAAAGCTCAGGGTTGCAAGGTGTAACCGGGTGGCTCAGAGGCAGGACACAATCTGCAGGCGTGGCCAGATAGGGGACGTGGACTGAGACTGGCTTCCCGGTCACTGGGGTCTGGGGCGTCTCCGGTGATATCTTTATAGGGCACAGATGAAAGGGAATGTGAGTGTGACCTATAGCCTGTCTCCGAGGAGGACAATAAAGTTTGAGAAGTTTGAAAAGGAAAGAAAGTGCACGCCCCCTTTGGCCACGGGGTGTGGCCGTAGCTCGGCGAGGCGCCTAGAGGCGGTGGCACGACATGGGGGTCACCGTGGACGTTCACCAGGTGTTCCAGTACCCCTTCGAACAGGTGGTCGCTTGCTTCCTCCGAAAGGTACCAGTCCCTCTGACCTGGGCGGTGCGTCTGCTGCCAAGAGTCTGAAACGGCCCCCGCCTTATCGCGCAGTGTCAGGACTCAAAGTTCAGGGGGTCCAAGCCCACTCTTCGGGTCTCCTCCAGCGCGCCTGCTGCTCTCGGGATGCACAGGGGAGGGTGGAGGCGGAGTTCCTCGAAGGTTGCTCTCGGGGTGAGGGGAGGGTGTCGTGCAGGGTATCACGTCCACATCGTGCCCGCCTCAGGTAGAGGGAGTCGGCTGGCTCTGGGTGGGCTGTCCAGTTCGGCCTTCCACTTCCTCACCCACTCTTAAACTCTAATGCACGCCCTTTAAGCTGTGATCTTGGTAGAGTCAGCGTTACTCTACTGTTTCAAGACTTTCTCGGTTACTAAATAGCAGTGGAGGACTCCCTGCAGAGCGCACTTTCTCTGGACCTTAGTTTGCTAATCCGCAGAGAAAAACAGTGCACATTCCTAGTGTGTTAGAGTGATTATCAAAGGATTGATGATTATAAGGAAATACTATTTATAATATTGCAGTTTTGGATACCATGGCCTTCACGATGAGGGCTCCTCCTAGGACTGTGCCTCAGGCTAACAATAAAGTGAAAAACATCCTTGAAAACTGGTTGTCACCCAGGCCTGGGAGGTGGGACCCTGAACTACTATGTTTCTGGTTCAGTTAGGTCTTTGGGTGACCCAGGTCAGAGGTCTTCTCTAAGATACAGTGTTTGTAAGATTAGGAGTTGCATCTATTGTTTTCAAAGTCACTTCAGCTTCCACGGTGTTGACCAAGATTTGGGATGATTGCAGCTGCCTTCAGGCAGGGAACTGCAGCATGGAATCTGTAAGGCTAGGAAGTTAGACTCAGGGGTTGCTGGGAAGATGGTTAGAACCTCCATTACAGGAAGGGCCTCAGTGATTGAGGGAGACACAGCTGGGGGCCCAAGTGCCTGAGGGCTGAGTAGGGTACTCAGTACAGTGTTGCTATGGAGACCTTTCTTTCCTTTTTTTTCTTTCTTTTTTTTTTTTTTTTTTTTTTTTTTTTTTTGAGGGATAGCTCATTGAACTTTGGGAGCTAGAAAGTGCCTTGCACTTGCCAGATCCTGAGCAAAAGTCAGATGAAATGAATGAAGGAAGGAACGAGTGAGTGAATCTAGACTTTGTCTTAGGTCAGGCCTCCAGGCACATAAAAGGAACAGCTGACTCTCCATGTTTTGTTCAGCCTGGCAGTTTGGAGTGGGTTTCCAGTGCATTTTGTGTGGGTCGCTTTTCCACTGTGATGAAATACCCGAGGTAAGAACTTGCAAGGGGGAAACATCTGTATGGGTTCACCGTTATGAAGTCTCCGGTCCATAATTACCTGTTCTAGTTTGATTTTTGTTGCAATAAAACATTGGCTAAAGGCAGCTTGGGGAGGAAAGGGTTTATCGCAGCTTACAGGCTGTATTTCATCATTGCATGAAGTCCCGGCAGGAACACAATGCTGAAACTGAAGCAGAGACCGTGGAGGAATGGTGCTTACTGTCCTGCTTTGCCTGGCTCACTCAGCTAACTTTCTCCCAGCCTCCTGTAACAGCTCAGGAAACTCTGAACACTTCACCTTCTTTCTCCAGCTCCAAACTCCAAAATCCTTCCATGGTTCTCCCCCAAAACAACATGGTCAGCTCCGCCACAGCAGTATTCCACTGTTCTGTCCCACATGTCGGTTTCAGGTACAGGTGATAGCTTTAGAGAGTGAGACCCACATTAATAAATGATGGTGAAGTTGGCAAAATTTCAACGGGTGATGCAAACTTCACACAAGGAACATACAGGGTGGTGCGGAGGCTTGCAGTAGGCCCATATGGAGGTCTTTGGGTAGGCATTCTCAGAAAAGTGACATCTATAAAAGGTTTGCTGAAACTTGGAGAGTTTTCTAGGCAAGCCATCCCTTCCTCTCTTCCTCCCTCCCTCCCTCTTCCCCCTTCCTTTCTCTCACTGTGTGTCTCTGTATGCACATGCATGTATGTATTTGTGTATGTATGTATGTATGCATGTATGTGTGTGTATACATGTGAGCATTTACTCTGAATAAGTAATGTAAGTATCCTCTCTACTCCTCTAAGCAACCTAAGAAGTCATCATGACTGACTCATTCACACTGTGGGGAAGCTGAGGTTTTGAGAAGTCTAAGTAACTGTTCCAGTACCCCCAGTCAGCAGGTGGGAGAGCCAGGATCCCAGCCCACCTGGATGTGAAGCCCATGTCTCACCAGCAACCCGTGCTTCCAGCCCTGACACAGTGGCCTCTCAGGAGATGATGTGAGGAGGACAATGCTCAAGGCTCAGCTTTTGCTTCTCAGGGTCTGCTCTTCTGGGTGGACCCTTGTGTCTAATAGGAAGCTTAGCTTAGATGTGCGGCAGTGAGACGGCAGCTGTTAGCCATTTCTGTGCAACAAATCACGCCAGACCGTGGTGGCCTTGCCTAGTGACAGACTTTTCATTCTGGTGATTCTGTGGGTAGACTGAGCTCATGTGGTTGGATTTAGTGTGTCATGTGGTATGGCTGAGGTCACTTAGATAAGTACATTCAACCAGCGTCTGATGCACTTGTTATAGGATAGTAGCTAAGTGTTTGGCACCTTTAAGAACTATGGAGGGACCCAGGTGTGGTGACTTGTGCCTGTAACCCAAGCAGTGGTGAGTCTGAAGCAGGATGCTCATCACATACTTGTGACCACTGGGCTACCTAGCAGGACCCTGTCCCAGAAAATCTCAAACCAAACAATATCAACAAAAAGGAATTCCTGTAGGCAGCCACAGCTGTGTGACTTAAGAGTGAAAGAAACTTCCTGTCGTGTCCAGAAGGCACTGTTGCTTCTGGTCTTCCTGACCTCTGGGTCTTACAGTCTTTCTACTTAATTTCTACTTAATAGTCTCTCTGAGCCTTGGTGTGTGTGTGCGTGTGTGTGTGTGTGTGTGTGTGTGTGTGTGTGTCCCTTATGCTCTGTATTTTGACTAGTTGTGAGTTTCTGTGTTTACCATTATCTACTTCTGGAAAACACTTTCCTGATGCAGTCAGACAGATGTTAGACACTCAGCATTCAAGCATGGAGTGGAAAGGGGTTTCAGGAGTCTCCCTAACTGACTGACTGTGGACAGTCTCAGGGAGAGTTAGTTTTCCTCCTCAAGGGTGTAGTTTCTGGAAGTCTACCAGACTCCAGTGGATGGTCCCACAAGTAGAGCTATATGGATGGCATAATTTAGAGTCTATGGGTTATTTAATAATAATAATAATTATAATAATAATAAGAAGACATGAAGTTGGGGAGTAGGAAGATGGTAGTAGGTTTGGGAGAAGTTAAAGGGCGGAGTTGGAGGTGGAAATGATCAAAGTACACTTGGTCTCAAAGAATTACAAAAAGGGGGTTCCTTCCTCAGGGGTGAGTATGGTCCACTGACTCACTTGATCTGGAGCCCTTATGCAATGAGCAGCATGCTCAGCTGTATACATAGTCTTCCTTTCTCATGATGATGCCACTGCTGTATAGGCTGATTGTAAGGATCAAAAATGTAACAGCTTGACAGGCATGTTCTTTTTATAAAGCCTTGGGTAGAAAGAGTTATATTTTGGACAAAATATGCTTTTACTTTTTTTTAGTCGTTTAGCAGTAGGCAGAAGGGACAGTCACGTGAGATGCTCTAGGGACATTTAATCTGATTTTGCACAATGGTGGTGAAGCTGCTCTAGAACTGAGGGCATAGTGTTTTAAATAGAGTCTACTGATCTGTGGCTTTCGGTATGTTCAGATTCGCCTTCCAAGTTCTAATTCACTACTATTTTTAAAACCTGAAGATGATCTGATCTCCTTACACCTGTCTATTGGCTGGTGCAGACAAACATTAGCTGCATGCTTTCAAAGATGAGTGATACCTAGAAAACAAAGGATACAGGGCTCTGTTGGTGGAGTGCAGTGTTCTCAGCACTCTTGGAAGAGTGCTCTGAGACTCAGCATGGCTCCTTCATCAGATGCTAGGCTGTGCTTTCTGTGACTACTGCAGCATCAGTGGCTTCACTGTGTCATTGGGTTCGCTGGTTCCCCTCTTTGTACAGTATTTTTCCCCCCTGAGACAGGGTTTCTCTGTGTATCCCTGGCTGTCCTGGAACTTGCTCTGTAGACCAGGCTGGCCTTTAAATAGAGATCCACCTTTCTCTGCCTCATAGGTGCAGGATTAAAGGCATGTACCACCACTGCCACACCGTGTAGTTCTTACCTTTCCAGCACTCTTCATTTAGAGTGTTTTCCTTCTGTTTGACTACAAAGTTGTGTAGACAAGTGTGGTGGTGCATAGAAGATACTTCTTTGTGGAGGCTCACAAAGGCCTCTTCATAATGGGAATGCCTCTCAGAAAATTCCTTAGGTGTCTGCCTGGAATTTAGAGTCATTACTACAGATGCAGATGGTCCTACAGAGCTTGAGGTCTCTCACTGTAGACTTGTTCAGGTTGACATTGCTCCTTGAGAATGTGGGCGAGCTCCATGGAGATTTGTGTCAGCCATTTCTGTTGTATCCCAAGCACCCAGAGAGGTTCTAGAATTGGGGACATTGAACAAACCCTTGTTCCATGAAGAAAGCTCACCCTCCTATGGTTCAGAGTGTACAGTTTTACACTAACATCGGTACTTGGGAAGCTGAGGCAGGAGGATTGCTTGGGCTCAGAAAGTTGAGGTCAGCTCAGGCAACACAGTGAAACACCATCTGCTGATTTCACAAAATAAAATAAACCAAAACTGCAACATGCTGATCAAAGTCAACACAGGGTCCAGAAACAATACTGGAATACTGTGAGAAAATAGAGTAAAATAAATTTTTACTTCCATCCGTGACCTAAGGCTTTATTTATTCCAGCTGCATGCTGTGTGGAATGCATCAGTGTTTACCCTAAAGCTCATAAAGGGGATTTATGAATGGCTATTTCCATTTAGAGTGGAAAGTTGATTGGGTAATTAATAATGTTA